GGAGCAGAGCCCAGCATCAGCGCTGAGCTCTAAAGCCATGGCCAGAGCAGCTGTTCCCCGGCTGCTGAAAGAACCGAAAACAACCAAACGAAAAACAAGCGTGCACTTGACGAGACTAGCAGATACCCTGTATGGAAGCATTGCAAGATTCCCAGAGCGGAAAATTTGTATTCTTAGATAACTTTTTTGTTTATTGTCCGATCAAACTAAAATTTGCAATGCTTCAAGTTGGCATTAAAATGTGTGTATATACCAAAAGTTAAGGCAGTTTAGTAAACAAATTTATAACTTTTATATTATTTTATATATTATATTCCTACACATACTACAAATCCCGCTCTCTCTCTCTTTCTTATATCACAAGGCGGATCAGAGCTCATCGCCCTGATCAAGAATTTACCTTTACATATTTTAACGGGTTTGTCTGCCTGTTACATACATTTGCACAGATCCATTATACCTGACTTTTATCCATTTTCCATAGGTACAGGGCATACGAAAAAAAAAGAGAAGAAAATAGTGGTTGGAAAATAAAACTACATGTCCCGGTACTTTTCAATGTAGTCAATGCTCCGTGTGCACTGCTTATGCATTGCTTTTGTTTTGTTTGCATTTTTGGTGGTGCAGCAGCAGGCAGGGAGCGAGGATGAAAGAGAGAGGGAGAGGGGCTGAGAGGCAGCAAGGAATCACTTAACAGGCAACAGAGGGACAAGTCCAAGCGGCGTCGATTAATGCCAGCGAATCGCAACGAATCGCGCGTCAGCGATGCGGGCCTGAGCTGGAGCTGGAGCTGGGCAGGGCCATTGGACTCGAGATTAGCACAGGATTTGCGCCTGATCAAAGACCAAAAGCCTAGAGAAACCAGCAAGAAACTGGCCAAACGAGATGCCGAAGATTAAATACGCTTGCGAGCCTATGCGAGCTAATGTATTCTCAGGTTATTTTAATATAAAAACTCAACTTTGAACCGATTGTTCCTATGGCAGACTATATAATATAGTAGAGTGCGATGTTGATAGTACCGAGCATGCATATTGAGAGCATAAAGAAATTAAGATTGTTTGATCGGAGTATCTCAAAAGTAGTAGTTAGTTTACTATATAATAAATCTAGAAGTCCGTTGTTAAAAAGATTTTATCTATATATGTGAGAGACTAAATAAAACTCATATATGCAAAGATTTTGATATTTAGTAGAACCAACAAAGTTTTTGAAGCGAATTCAAAATTCACGATCCTTGGTTCCTAAGAGAATCACATGATATATTGATTCAATCTTTGAGATAAGTATTGTCTGAGGCAAAAATAATTATCTAAGCCAGATTTTAACTAGTTAGCTTGAAAACTAAGAGAGTTCGGATAGATAGGCAAACGGATTGTGCTTTTGAATCAGATCAAATATGTATCAATAGCCTAGCCTCTTTATGTACCTTGCACATTTTATGACAGAGTTAGAATACCCTAAGCTAGGGTATAAAAATAACAGGAACACAAGAGGCGCGCGCTCTGCCCAGGCCAGACCAGGCCAGGCTATGGCTATGGCTATGGCTAGAGCTTGAGCTGGGCAAGAGATAACGACGACAACGACAACGACGACACCTTGCAAGCCAGAGGCTGTGGCTTAGGCTAAGGCTAAGGCTGTGACTGTGCCTGGCCGGGGCCGGGGCCGTGGCCACAGTTACCAGCCAGAGCCCAGAGCAGGCCACAAGTCGTGCAGGAAGCGAGTTTTTATGCAGGCAAAAGGTTTACACAGTCTCCGCGTCCCAGCGTCTCCTCAACTGTCCGGCCGTCCATTTGGTCCGTTCTTGGACTTGTCGTCTGCGTCTGCCTGCTTCTAAAACCAGTTGCAGGTAGTTTAAAGTAAGCCCAAGATGTTCGCTCATCTTTTGTGGCTCTTTTCGGCTCATACCGTACCGATGCCTCGACTCTTTTTCTCCTTCTCCTTCCGCTGCGGCTGCTGCTGCCTGCGCAGCAACAGGCCAAAAGACTGGACTCTACGAACTCGGTGTCCAATATTTTTGTTTTGTGGCCGAAACGAGCGTTTTTCATTGCCCATTTCGCCGCTTTCCCCCACCCGCCTCGATCCCCGCTAAATACAGCTCTTTTTTATGTCTGTCTTGGCCGCAATGCAGTGAGAAAAATTCGTAGAAGTTTGCCTAGGATTAATTGGTTAATCTTGTTGTGTGTTTAAGTGCATAAATGGTTTCCTATTTCTACGAAATAAATTATAAACTGATTAATCTGGCGTTTAGTCAGCGGATTCTTTAAGTGATAACATTTTTATGGTGAATGATATTGGGCGAGTGAGGTTGGGTTCGCTGTAATTAACTCGTTGGGCGCTGTTGCCCAATTTAAGTTGATTGTTCAGTAAATCAATTAAAGCAAGTGCATTGTTTCCAAATTTGCATTAAACGACACAGTAATGCAAGAATTACCGGCATTGTTGCCAAAATTCACTTATAGCTACAGGCATTGTTGCCAAACTTCAGTGGTTTATTCATCAAATCAATTAAATTACATTCATTGTTGCCATACTTAATTTAACGACAAAAGTCATGCAAGAATTTCTTGCATTGTTGCCACACTTCATTTACAGCTAGAGCCGTTGTTGCCAATTTTCACAAAAGGGCTCTAAATACCTTGGTTTTAACTACTTCAAGGCACATTTCAGACTAATTGTGTGTTAACTATAAAAATCTTTGAAAGATGACTGCATTGCAATGCATTGTTGCCACATTTAACGAGCATTGTTGCCAAACTGCACATAATTTACTCGAAATAAATATATGCACAAATATTTCTATTAACAGTGAAATTGTGTAAAAGTCCAACGAGTATTATTTGAACAACTTCAAGCGACATTCGCAAACAATTTAAAGTGCTTGGGCCTGTTGCCAAACTTCATTAACTATGACACTTGTTCGCATCGCTGTTCAACTTCCTGCCTTGGCCATAGAGACTAGAGACCACCTCACCTGCTCCTAAGCAAACGGCACATAAACAAAACTAGCCTGGCATCTGGCCACACGGCATCTAACAAGTTCGACATTTGGCACTTAAATTTAACGCTTGATTGCATTTACGGTGTGCGGCGGTGGAGTGCCGAGTGCCGAGTGCGCTATATATTAAAATATAGTTTCTGTGAGCCAGTGCAGCTGACTACGACTACGACCCAGGGCAGAGACCAAAGACCAGACCGGGCCATAGACATAGACTGCGACTGAGACCATGATGATTGTTTTTGAAAAGCCAATCCAACGTCAACGACTCTATTCTGCGGGTTCTGCTGTTAGCCAGAAGGCCTAAGCCAAGCCAAGCCGTTCGACTGCCGGCTTCTCTTTCTCCTAAACAGCTTTTCACGTTTGCCCCATTCTTCTAGGGCTTGTGTGAAGTGGAGGAGCGCGAAGTGGGAAGTTGGGTTGGGTTGGGTTGGGTCTCTCCTCCACTTGTGGCACAATTCGTTGTCGTCTTTATGCGCTGCACAACTTCCTTATGCCTAGTTTTGAGCACTTCTCTAGCTCCCTCCTTGCCTCCTCCTCTTCTGCCACCTTCTACTTGGCGTCACTTAGCGTGTGCCAGTTTTTCACTGGCTTCTTTTGGTGTTTACCCAACACTGAACCCCTGCCCCGCATTAAAACACACACACACACACGCACACACCCTGCTGGGCGCACACAGCCGGAAATGCCGTTTTACGCGTGAATGAAATTTTGTAGTGTTGTAAACGTGTAAATGCGCAGCGTTGCCAAATTTCAGTTCAGCTGTCAAAAACAAGTCAAAAATCAACCGTTACATCGTGCGCAACTCGTTTAGCAACAATTAATGTAAAATTTTGTAAAATATGCAAATCAAAGGAGCTGGAAAACTTTTGTCAGGCGCGACTTGGAACAGCCGCGAGCCAAAGCAGAAAAGAACAAAACAGACAAAAATATAAAACACAGGGGGAAAGTGGGCTGAGGGGGGATTATGGGATAGTATGGGGGTAGCAGCAACATTTTCATAGAAAAACCACCCTTCTGGAAAAATGCATAAGGCACAAAGGACGAAGGACGACGGCGAGCTGATGTTGATGTTAATGTTGACGCTGCGACGACAGACCGCACAAAAAAAGGGGGTAACAAAAAAAAAATAATAAAAGGCGGACGTCAGGCCTATGCATAAAGGACTGCACACAGGGAAAGGTCGCCGCCAGGCAAAGAGCCATTGAACCCCAGTTACATGTTAAGACCAAAGTCTAGCTTAATGTTGGCAAGAACTAAGTTTCCATATTAAATGAGAAATAACTGAGCGAATAAAAATTTGCAAAAATTAAATTAAAATGCATAACACAAGAATAAAATATACAAATTGTAAACAGTGAACATTAAAGTAAAGCCAAAATCCAGTGTTGTAAAGCGATCTAAATATAAGTATTTTTGTCATAAAGTCAAGTTGGGCACTTTTTAAGAAGAAGAGCGCGCGTGTTTACGCCGAGGATGAAATAATGGAAAAAGTGGAAAGAAAGTAGAAAATATTACAAAATAATATTTGTACCTCGGCTAGGTGTGAGAATCTATCAAGTTTAATATTTAAAAAATTCAATAAAAATTCCAGAGTTTAGGTTGGCATAAAAGAAATAACATAGCAAATTTAAAACTATTAAATGTCATTATATAGAACTCAATTGATATTTTAAGTCCCAATTTTGAAACTATTTAGATTTTGGCATAATTTTTAAGAATTTTCGTAACAAATTTCTCAATCCTAGCTATTAACTATAGCAGCATCTGATAAGCCTGCGATAAGCGACTCTTGGAGTTATTTAAAATCCAACATTTACAGTTCTAAGAACCTAAAAACCAGATTTAAGGATTCTAACTGTTTAAATTACTGAGCTCGGATAGGACCTCGCTTCAAATGACTCTTTTAACGATAATGAAAAAAAACTTTAGGGTCATGTTGCTTTAACAACTAAAATAAATAGACTTAAAAGTTGATTAATAAATTCCTTGAAAAACTTACCAGACAACGCCGAATGCACCGTAGCCAATTGGACGATCCGGCTGTACATCCTGTGGCACCGCTGGCGGCTGATAATATGGAGCCGCTGCGGCTAATATTGCGCTGGCGCCCTGTGGCGCACCACCGGCAGCACCACCCTGTACCAGTGACATCGAAACGCTCATTGAGCTACGCGGCGCAGCAGCTAAAGGATTTGGGCAGCTGTCGATGCTGCTCCGCCTGCTGTTGTTGGTGGTGTTCGTGCTGGAGTAGCTGGGTGCTGTGTGCTGAGGATTAGCTGGCGTTTGATAGCTATAAAGCCTCTGCTTGCTGCTGTTAGTTGTGCTGTTGCTGTTATTGTTGTTGTTGGTGGTGGTGGCGGTTTTGGTGGTTGGATGGGAGAAATGGTGTTGATTGCTCAATGGATGCCGCTTGGGGCCACTGATGGCCGCCATTCAATAGTTGCCCATTTGGTGTTTGTAATTTTGTTGCTCGTGTTGTTGTGCACACAAATTTGTTGTATTTTTTTTTTTATTTAACACATTAGAAATGAATTTAAAGAATTTCGTTTAAATTTTTGCACATTTTTTACTTATTTTTCCGGCTATTGTTGTTGTTGCTGGCGACTGCAAGAAATAATGAATTCAAGATTTAGAATTTTAGCCGCATTTTTGGCAGGCGATAGAAAAAGGGAAACGCAAAGTAACAAAAAAAAGGAACTGCCGTTAGCTACGGCCGGGGCGCGTCCGTGTAAGTGTGCGCGCATGTATATGTATGCGTGAGTCAGTGAGCGAGCGCAAGAGCGAGAGAGCGAGTATGCAAACAAAACACACAAAATAATAAAAATAAAAGTGGAGTATGGAGTTTGTTTTTAAATGTTTATGTACATGGGAGCGCAGACAGTTTAATCAACTTGGAGAAAAAAAACAGTAAAAAATTTCTTAATATGTGCACATGTTTTGCAATAGCAACAAGAGAGAGCGACGCAACAACAATGTACGCTCTCAGCGTGCTTAGCGTCAGCGTCGCGCACTTGACACTTTTTTGCTGCTGCTCCGACGCCAACGCTGACGCCGACGCCAAGGCAACGCTCATGGAAAACAATGCACAGTAAAAAGAAAAGTGCAATGAAATGCAGAAAATGTGCGGCATTTGTATTACACATGGAATTTGGGTTCTGTTTCCAGCCTAATTTCCCATTGCTTACCTTAAAAAAATGCACAATTATTGAGTGGCGGCAGCAGCTGCGACGGCGGCAGCGAATTTTTGTTGGTGGCAACGGTGGGGAGCTGATTTCGATGAGTGCGGCGACTCTTCCGCATTTGTATGTATGAGTGTGTTGCGTGCGTGTGTGTGCAGCGTCGGTGGCGGCGGCCGCGGCGGCGTAAGAGACAGACGAGTTGAAATTTACAAATGAAAATTCGATGCTAACTAAAACACGACGCGAACTGCGACGGCAACGTTTACTGCGACTGCAACAGCGGCTAAAATGCAGCAAGTCTCACGAAATTGTTGTTATTTGTGATTTATTAACGCACACACACATTCACTTAGACACAGACGTACAGAAGAGCGACAGCGAGACCGACGGCAATCAATTGAATTATTTTTTCTGAATTTTTTTACTTGTGCATTTGTCACGTTTGTTGGGGCACAATTTTTATTGCATTATCTTGTTATTACACTACCCGAAGTTTGATAGGCAGCAGCGAAGTTGCTTTTGCAATACATGTGTGTGTATGTATTAATTTTTCCTTTGCCTTTTGCAAGAAACACACGCGGCGTCTTTTTACCGATTTTATGCGTGTCGTTTATGCGAAAGTCATGATAGGACTGACAACAACAAAATTTCTAGCGATGTGACCGGGCCTGCGTGAGTAGTGTGACCAGTCGTTTAATTTTTGGTATTTTCATTAACAGCTGAGTTTTAGCAACATGTTGCCTCAACTATGCAGGGTAAGCAACTCTCATTATACACTTAAAGCATGTTCTCACCATAATTTAATGCGAATTTAACAGCTTATATTGAATTTATAAGTTAAATGAATTTCTCAGTCACATTTTCTTATTCTAGCAACATTATTAGCATACGTGAAGGTGTGACCAGCGTTTTATTTTTGTCATTTGCTGATTAACATAGCTATGTTATGTTAACTGCACAGCTGTAAATTTCGATAATGTTGCCGATATTTGCGGGTAGTACGCAGTGCATCCACAAATTTTAGCTTGGTAACTGCGAGCAGCGTACCTTATCATCCACTCGAATTTTGTAAACAAAAAAGTGGCCAAGATGGAAAGAGAGACGGAAACGCTGAAGGAATACCTCACCGATCTCGTAGTGCCCCACCATCGCTGCAATGTTAACATCATACCCGATCACATTACCATGCTGCATGGCACCAAAAACAAAAAGCAACACAGCCGCAAGCGGCGCGCCCACAAATCGAGCACGCTGACACGCCGGGAATACGCGCAACTGGGTCTCAATACGCTGCCCACACGGCAAATGCGCTACGAGCAGGCGCTGCCGCTGCACAAGCTCTGGCGCGGCTACATCCGCGAGCATCTAGATCTGCGAGAGGGCGATGAGGTGCCGCAGGTGCATGAGAAACGCTACGAGGAGTTCAGCAAGCAGCTGGTCAAAATGGATTTGCATGGCGCCAAGCTGCGTGTGGTGCAGTCCAAGTGTCCCACGCTGGTTGGGCTCAATGGCATCTGTGTGATGGACACAAAGAATGTGCTGAAGCTGCTGGGCGAGGATCATCGTGTGCGCACCGTGCCCAAGAGCGAGTGCGTCTTTGGCATGCATGTGGACAGTCTGGAGTTTACCATATTTGGTCAGCATCTGAATATGCGGCCAGCGGAGCGCAGCGTGAAGAAAATCAAAAGCTATGTGGAGCCCTTCATGTAGCCGCACAATAAATGCCGCCAAAATGTAAATCTTTAATTAAAATTTCTTCTTTGTTTTTATATAAAATCGTACATTTAACGCCCCAGTCGAAGGGCGACTGGAAATATCGCGTCATGTTTATTACATATGTATTTTTTTATAGCTTTAAATGTTTGTTAGTTGTATTTGTTGTTGTTGTTTTTGTTTGTGTTTCGATTTTGAGAGAATTTACGCAGCCGGCTTGGTCATGGTTATGACAGCAGAGGGCACCAGCCCCAGCACCTCCAGCGGCTTCTCATAGTCATCGTCGGCAAAAATCTTGCGCGGAAATGTAGTCATCAATGCGAAGGGCGTCTCAATGCCGGTCTTCACCTGTATAAAAACGCGCACGGCCGACAGTGGCTCCTTCACATTGAACTCGGAAGCGAGTGTGGAGCCATCCTGCAGTCGCACCTGTATGCGGGTTTCGGTATAATCGCGTGGCGGCGACTTGACGCCCGTCGGTGTTGTGGCCGTGGTAGTGGAACTGACCGAGGGCACGGCATCCGACGGCTTGCCCGGGCTGCTTTGCTCTGCCCTGGAATATTGATTAGGTTTAAACTGGAGCGGTTGCTTTTAAAGGTTCGCTCACCTGGCTTTGCGTGCCGCCTTGTCGGCCTCAATCTGTGCGCGCACACGATCGCGTGCTGATTTCTCCTCTTCCTTTTCGCGTTTGCGCTGATCAAGGATCTTTTTCATTTCGATTTCCTCCATGCGACGGCGTGCCTCTGTCATGTCCTTGCCGGAGCGTATGCGATTGCGTTCACGTTCCAAGGCATCGACCTTTTCGCGCTCCTCACGTTCGACGCGCTTCTGCTTGAGCTTCTCCTCGATGAGCGCCAGCTGTGCCTTCTTTTCGTCCTCGCTGAGCGCTTTCTTCTCCTCAGTGGATTCGGAAAAGTTGCTGTGACCCGTCTTAGCCGCATGGTACTCGACCTCTGTTTGATCCTTGAGCACCTTGCCGCAATCGTCGCATTTGAGAGATTTGGCAACGGCCGCTCCGCCCGAAACGTCGGCGGCGCCGCTGCTGCTCGGCGCAGTGTCTTCAGTTGCAGCCGGATCAGCGGCTGAAGCTGGTATCTCTTCATCGCCGTGAGCCAATAGCCACTCCATGGCTAACTCGACGCCTTTGTGGCTAGTCACACTTAATGCATATTCTCTATAAATATATATAGAAACATAATAAAAAATAGCCGGTGAAGAAAATATTATAACAAATACTTACACTCTATCTCTGGGAAAACCCATGTCCATTAGTGTTTGTACATCACTCATGTCTGCAGTCTAATTTTCTAGCGCAAATGTCTCAATAAAACACGTAAGTTTGTGCAAATGTTTAATTTTTTCCACTTAATATTTTCCCTGCAATAATGACACACAAAAACAATGCTGCGTTGCTAGTGTTGCACAACGTAAAAAGTGAATGCTCACTCTAAATGAATACTTTTTTTTTAATCGATTATCTGTGATGCGTTTAATAATAACAAATTTGCATAAACAGCCAATAGATTTAATTAAATAAACACTTTTAGCATAAAATTAATAATAATGCGGCAATTCAAGCTTCATTTCCATCGATAAGGATATCGATAACACACCAGCTGCTTTCAATTTGCAGTTGCGTCGCTGCAGCTTGCTTAGCCGATAGCGTCGTATAACCATTTTGTTAGCGTTACTCTTACAAAATGTCGCATCAAAATAAAATCAAAAAGATGGTGATTAAAATACCTCGCCATCCGTACATCATAGCACAGGGCGAATTCGATTATCAGGAGCGCGTTCAAATACGAAAATGTCGCGTCAACTTGGAACGCATGAAAGGACAGCAGACAGTCGGAGGACGCCCATTCCCATTAAAACCCAAGCCGAAGCGTTGCTGTGTTCGAGTAGCACGACTGCCAAATGTGGAACGCAGCGAAATATCCGTAACACCAGCCAGCTCCATAGTGTGTTCGGATTTTGATGATGGTATTTGCGTTCTTGTCCCTATCGAAATTGCAGCCATTTAACAATGCTATATTTACAGATTCTGCTGACGAATAGATGATGCAGCTGTCATTTCCGCTGCTCCCCAATCACCAATTGTACTGAAGACTAGACAAACCAGGCAGTGGCACCATGTCCGGGACTATCCACACTCATATTTTGTAGCTGTAATTTTGAATATCTATAAATACATTTGTAACTAATATTTGTTGTTGCTGTTGTTTTTTTTTTGCTCGGCTTGTTTGAAAGCACAACCGATTACCCAAAAATTATCGATATTAAGCTTGTTCTAGAAAGTTTCATCACTATCCCATGGATGTCAGGTGGAAAAAAATATTTGTGAAATAGCCAAATTATTCGGTAATAAATCAACATTCTAGGCAGCAAACAAATATGAATTGGCACACGGGTAATATTGCAGAGGCTGTGGCGGAATCTAAAGCCAAAGATGCCATCTTCGTTCTCTACATTCAAGGTAAAAACACGAAATAGAAATCGCTAAATCAATTTTAACCACGTCATGTTTGTTAATTTGACATTGTAATTGAATTACACTGCGCCACACAGGTCAGGATGAGATGACGGCTAATCTGGATGGATTTCTGAAAGATGCGCGCGTGACCTCGAAGCTGCAAACATCCGACTTTGTGGCGGTCAAGATACGGGGCGACAGTGAAGCTTACGCTATGTTTATATCGCTATGTAAGTACAGCATACGCTCGCTAAAGTGAACTCGGACAGTTTCATATATGCATTAATCATTTGCCTTAAAGACAAAGTGGTGCCAGTGCCATCAATCTTCTTTATTGGTAAATCTGGCACCCCGCTAGATATTGCCACAGGCATCATTGGCAGCGTCGAGGAGCTGGTCGCTAAAATCGATAAAGTGCTGCTGCTGGCGGGCAAGCAAGCTAATCCGGATGCAACCACGAGCATCGCAGTTGAAAACGAAGACGAAACAGAACAGGAAGAAGTTCGCACAATTGCTGGTGCAGACAGTACCGAAGCCAGGGAACCGGAAGTTGAGGCATTTGAACGAGCGGCCGGGAGCACAGAGCAAGCACTCGAGCAGGAATCAGAGGCAACAGTGGCAGAGCCAGCAGCGGAAGAGCCAGTTTCACCCGAGCCCATTGCTCCGGTGGAATCAAGCTCCCAGCTTGAAACAGTTGATCCGCCAAAGCCTGCAACTGCGCCTCAAACAGCTGCTGCGCCTGAGCCAACTGTCGCGGCGATGACAGCAGCGGCGGCTGCTGAGAAGCGTGCAGCTGTAGCTGCCACAGCCGCAGCCACAGCTCAAGAACACAACACAACAGTGATGACCAATGGGATGGCCTCGATCGTGCCCATTGCCATGCCATTAATACCACCAAGCACACAGAGTGGCGCACGTTCGTCCATCGACGAGACCAATATGAGCATGTCGGAGATTCAAATGCTTGTGGAGCAGCGCAAGCAAGAACGTCTGGAGGAGCAAAAGCGACGCGACAAGGAGAACGAGCTGCGACGTCGTCGCGAGGGACGCGAGGCGCAAGCCCAGCAGGTGATCAGCCGAGAGCAGGAGCTCAAAATATTGCAAGTGAGTCACAATTTCGAATGCAAACAAATAAATATAATTAAAAACGGTTCTCTTCCCAAGGAACGCATACGTCGCGAGCGCCAGCAAGAGCAGGAGACACGTGAACGAATTCTTGCCCAAATTGCTGCCGATCGTGCCGAGATGGCAAATCGTGGATCCGTGAGTGCCGAAGTTCAGAGTGTTAACACGTGCACAACGACATCGGCTGTTGTGCCGGACTTTTCTGCCACATCGGTGCAGGAGACGCGATTGCAAATACGTTTGCCAGGCGGCATTACGCGCACCAGAGCCTTCCCCGTTATGGAGCCACTGACAACTGTGCGCGGCTATGTTCTGGAGGAACTGCTTGCCGGCAGCAATATACGCGAATTCACACTGGCCACCAGCTACCCGAGACGTGAATTTAAAACAGAGGACGAGACCAAGACGTTGGTCGAGTTGAATTTGGTGCCCAATGCGGTGTTGTTGGTACTCAAAAGCGAAACAACGAATCGCGTGGTGCGCAGCAGCAGCAATCTGATGAACATTGTGACCAGCATGATTTGGGCAATACTCACACCAGCGGCCGTGGCATTCGATTACATCAACAAAATGGGTTTCCAGCGTCTGCGACAGCGCTTCATGCAAATGGTGTCCAATGTGGGCTGGTCGAAACCTCCACGCCCCGCGGCCGACGGCGATGGGTAGGTGGTAAACAAGTTTAACAAGCTCTATGCACAAACTAATGCCGCGTTTCTTTACTCTTTCACAGCACCATTCCACGTAATATGGATTTGTTTATGCTGCGCTCGACAAGTGGTCCTCCGGGCCTGCAACAGCCAACTCCCCAAAATGCAGTTGGGTCGCCGGCTCATCAGGTGAAGCCCACGCTAGTCTCGCACAGCGATGCAGATGCATCATCTGGACATGACCTGACACATCAGCGCTCCGGTGGCATTAAACCAGCGCGTTATGGTGAATCGAATATACGTCGATTGGCAGATAGCGCAAAGGATGACGACGAGGATAAGGCCACCTATAATGGCAACTCAACACAACAGCAATAAAAAATTTACTAATAGTTACAAATTTCTCAATAATCATACCCGTTACATTCACAGCTTCAAGGATATGCAGCCTTAAATTATTATTAACTAAATACAAAAGTAAAGCAAATCTACTATATTCAAAATATTTAAATTCTTTTTGTGTGTTTGTGTCTTTTTTATTTAAACAAGCAAGAAAATGATCAGCCGACACAATTTGTGATAAGATATTAAGGGTAGGCAAACTAATATGTTTAAACAATTCATTCTAATGCAAAATTTGTTAATTGAACTACGTTAATGCGTAGATGCTTAAATGTGATTATAAATACATGGTATAAAAGAATAAACATAATTACTTAAATGATTAATGTTTTTTTATTTGCTGATATATGTATAATCACAATTAAGTGCAATCGCCAGAACGCATTTAAAGTTTGTCATATATATATATAGTAGTGATATTTGCTCGATCACGTGTGTTGCTTTAATACAATTTAGCCTCAAGTCCAGGGGTTATACTTGTTACAAACAGAAAATGGTGTAATAGAATCTCATAATGCTTGTGAGGGTTATAACAAATGATGCATCAACTTAAATACTAGAACAGAGGGACGAATAGAGATTTGAGGATTTTACAATGTGAACCACATGAGAAATTGCAACAGCTTGTAGACATTGACCAATGGAAATTTCCATTGCTCTTTGCGTAGCAGCGGCGGCACCAGGCTGGGATAGTGCACAGGATTGCCAATGTGGCAATTGGTGTTCACTGTGCCGCCAGGATAATTGATGGCCACCACATCGCCCAGCTTGACGCCATCGCAATCGATCAGCTCCAGCGTTTTGTCGAAACAAATTCGTATTTCCGACAAATAGCTAATATCGTGCTTGACATCGAAGAGACAATGGATGGAGGGATTCTTGCCCAGGCCGCGCACCAGCGCATTGTTCAGAGCAATAACCGTATTGTTGGAGTCGGGATGAATGCCCGCCGCATCCAGTATGTTGGACATGACGTATCGCTCACGCCATTTCAGGCCCTGACCAAAGTACTTCAGCTCATTGTCGAGGGCGGCGAGCACCGCGGCGCAGGTACCATGCTTCAGCCATTCGTGCTTCCAGAGATATTCCTGCGATGAGTCACCCTCCAGGTCCATCCAGTAGGTATTTAAGCGATCGATAATCGCTTGCAATTGTTCCGGATTGAATTCAGCGGATTTGTTACAAAAGTTTGGCCCGATCTGACCCAGTTTTGTGGGCCAGATGCCGTGTATGGTCCAGAACTCTTTCTTCTGCGGCAACGTACACTCGTGCGTCGGATCCTCCTCCCTCCAGTGATAGCAGGTGGTTACGGGCCACTGCTGAGTGAATATGAGCACATCCCAGCTGTGTGCGTCTCTGCCCAATTCATTCGTATACAGTGGATAATATTCGTCGTCCTCATCTTCATCAGAGAAATCGGCGGCGGCGGCGGGTCGCTTTAGTGGCTGCTCCACGGAGCTGCTTGAGTCACCCCAGGTCAGGTTGGACAGGGCAATACCAGAGTCGGATATTTCATCAAGGGCGAAGCTAAAAAAAAAAACAAACACACACACACACACATTCAAAACCAGCTGTGAGTAATTGGTTGTGGTCTACAAGGGTTTTGAGGCGGGCGTTCGGGGACATGGGGGTAACCTTGAACTTGGTGCCTTTTCAAGCGCACAGCGAACTCGGCTTATCGAAATATCGATTGATATTCCTAACTGTATAGCTATATAACTGTATTTTGCTTACGTTTGCGCTAATCTCGGGCTGCAACGCGTGTCTATTTTCTTTTGTGTTGTTTAATTTTTCTTTTGCGCCGCCTACGCAAATAAATAAAACGTACGCTAGAAACTTCCTCGCCGCTTGTTGTTGCCTAATATAATTCATGGGCACTTACCTCAATGGGCTCGTCTTTGTCGCAGCAAGGCTGCATAACAAAACCGTCAAAAAAACCAAACGTTGTTGCTGCTTCTGCATAATTGACTTTTGTTTTAAAATAACGTAGCGTAAGTAAATTATTTGGTGTAAATATGACGCATTTTCTCAGGTATTGCAAGCCATACACTTTTTCGTATTCAGAAACACTTGTTTGTGTAGCTTTCTATCGAGTCAATCTAAATATTAGCAAAAAATAAGTTGTAAAGTTTATTTATGCACTTTTTGTTTTTGTATTTTTCTTTTGCGCTGCTGTTGAATGGCTAACAGCTGTAAATAGCAACTGTAAATGAAAAGAGTGCTGTAAAACACCATGCAACAGATACCTGCCGCAAGGCTGCTGCAAAAACTGCTATCGATAAGTCGAGTTTATCGGTGAAAGCGCTGCAAAATCAAATTTCAAAATCAAACGGTGTAACTTTTTACATTCTTAAGAGCTCTACAAATACAATAGCAATCAAAATAAATGAACTACATTTTAAGTCACTTTAAAAATGATATCCAATCTTTTGGTCATACGACTTTATCGCAATAGCTGCACTAATTGGGACAACTAAGCTTGCCTCCTGATAGCACGTATACCGGATTTGTGGAATAAGACATTTTGTCTGCACAAATCACAATATCCCAATAATTAAA